AGCCCTGGGGAACACCGCTTGTGACCGGTTCTGAGATGCTCTTATAAATTTGTTTCATTCAGTTGGGCAAGCATGTTTAGAAAATACTAATGTTCATTTTCTGGATCATAAACAGCAACAGCAGTGTTTGGAGAAAGCCTGTACATTGAACTGTTGTCAAAACTCTATCTGCTTGCTTTGTAGAATGCCGTGTTATGAAGTCCTCTTATTCCCGATCATCTGGCATGAGGCATACTGGGTCCAAAAGTCCAGGACCTTCGCATCGAAGCAAATCACCTGCCTCAGGTACTACTTGTAGGAAAGAGCTGAACACGTAAAACTTATGGAAGTTACAATTTGTTTAATGGGGTGAAAAAACTGTTGGCTTTGTCTAAGATACAAGTGCCATGCTTTGTTTCCTGAGGGAGAAAATGTTTTTTCAGTTTGTCTCATAGATTTAGTATTAATTTATAATAAAATCTGTGTTTATTTTTGAATCCTGAGAAGAAATGTGGTCTCTATTTTTTAATTAACAGGCACAAAAAGTTTCAGTTTATGAACGTTGGAATAATTTGTGCTAATTGTACACTTGAGATATGTTTTCAGCATGGCACTTGATTTTCTTGAAGACTATCAACTACAGGATGGTTATGTGGTTAAATTCATGTTCATTGAACTAGAGTATACCGTTAAGTGTTCTGAATTTGAAAGGTTTCTCCTATATAAGCCAAATATTGTTGGAAATACAGGATTTTGCTGTTTCAAGTAATTTTAGGAGATGTTCTGGAATGTTATTGCCCATTAACAGAGAAATTTTTTTCCTTCTTGTGCTTCCTATAATTTCAAAGAAAGGTTCACATTGTGTTTTTGCCAGCAGTTTGGCTGAACACCGTATGTTCCAACCATTGAGTCTTGTATGCAAATAAATAGAAGGAAGAAGCTGGGTTTTTTCGTTTTTTAATCTCTGCGTTTAATTTCTAAATACAGTAAAACTTAGTTGATTTTTTCCCTCAGACGTGGAGAAGTAGCCCTGAAATCAAACCATTGAATATGTAACTATAAGATGCTCTGTTTTGAATGTAACTATGCATGTAAGCTCCTGTGCGTGTATTCAAAACTGCAACATGTTCCATATTCTCATTTCCATATCAATATTTGTTTTGCTCATTGATGCTGGTTAAAATAATTTGCTGTCTTTGGGTTCTTTCAAAGTGGAATATTTATCATCTGTTATAAAGGTTGAATATCTAACTGAAAAGCTTCAAAGAAGGATCGCAGTAACAACAAAGAAAAATGTAGCACAAAGGGCAAGTTTCACAACTGATCTACATTTCATGCAAAAATTGTTAACTCCAATGAGATTGCATGGGATATCCATCAACAGTGAATTTTAGGCAAAGTATTTAGAAATCAGTGCTGTCATTTCCTTACTTATTTCTGCTTGGACACCCTCTTTGGTTAGGTTGATTTGAAAAATTTATCCAAAGTGTCTGGTATTTATCCTTCTATTTACTTGCCGTTTTTTCTCATGTAGTCTTTACTTTATTTACCCTTCTTCCTTTCATGCATGTTCAGAGCTGTTTAATAACTTCTTTCCTTAACGTCTTTCTCCTTTGTGTCAAATATATGAGTACAGTAAAGAGGGGTGGCCACTACTCCAGTGCTTATTCTTCAGCAAAATCCCCAGGTGAGCCATTACTATTATGGCTGTATATCACTAGTGTGTCTCCTCCCTCTCCATTTACCTGTGTTCTTTTTGCTGTATTTGTGAATATTTTCAAGCCTGAAACACACGTTTTGCATTCAGTGCACCAAAGGCATAATGGGTGTAGGGTTTTTGTTGAAGTAGATTGTTTGAGTGAAATAATATAAATGATGCTTTATAGTCGTTGGACATCTGCTAATGGTGTCAAAGTTAAATTTGTAAAGGTATAATTTGACTACAAGTAGAGGAGCATTCTGAGGAGCAATACATTTGTATGTGTATTCTAAAGCATATTATAATAGAAAATTTCAGTCAGCGCAAAAAGACAGGGGTAAGAGTTGCTGAAAAAAGCAGTGCAAAAACGTGTCATAGTTTTTAATTTTATTTGCAGTTTCTTACCTTCCTTTGTTTTCTTGTGTTATTTCAGCCTAAGTTCTAAAACACCGAGAAACCTCTTTGAACCTTCAGTTCAAAGTGAAAGTATCTCTAAAACAAGTAACATGCATTTTGATTAGCAAATAAGTTGAGACTTTGGACCATACTAGAAGTTAATAATTTAAAAGGTATTCATAGGTTTTTCAGGTTTCAACATTCCAATACGCTAAAGAATTGTAGCCTAATATGCACTACTTAAAGAACGACAGAGAAGAAAAATTTTTTCTGTATATTCAGGCTGCTCTACATGTCGAAAGAAACCTCAAAAGAACTTATATTTAGAAAATAGATAAGAAAGGTAAGTTTTGCATATATGTGAAATAATCAGCAAATCAATAGCAGTGGACAAGTTTGTGCCAAAAATGAATACAGATTACTTGTATGTTTTTTTGAGTAAGAAAAAAAAAGTACTGCTGTCTGAAATAGCAGTTGGCTGACTCCCTGTAGATGCAAAATTTTTACGTCTACACAGGGCCAATTCCAGCTTTTACTGCTGTTGCAGTTGTGTACCAACTCTCATGCCGTGGATCTCAGAAGACATTGGCAAAGCTGTATCTACAGACAGCTCTTTTAAATAGGATCCTCAGCAGAATGTGCCATGTGTTGTAGAATCACAGAAGGACAAAAGTTGGAAGAGACCTCCGGACATCATCTAGTCACACCACTGGGTCAGAACACCACCCTTGTCCACCAAGCATATCTAAGATGTTAGCAAAGAGCTAGAGTACTGTCAGTGTAGGCTGGGATGTTCTTCCTTAGACAGTTATGAGAGGGAAGAAGATGATGTTAACCAGCCAATTTCACGGGTATAGTTGAGTGGTTTCTGTCAATGCTTAAAAGGATGGTAGTGACTTAGAGACAGATAAGGATGTCTTGTAGTGTAGGCCTCAATGGTCATGTTCAGGAAATAGTGAACTTTCTGTAATTTGTATAAAAAGAATTTGTGAATAAACAAAAATTTTTTCCTCCTGTAGTAATAGTTGGTCATTTGGAAGCAAATTCTTCTACTGAAGTATTCATTTTTGGTCATGAACTTTACAGCTCAGTATTTTTTCTAATGATTAGAGCAAATTGTGTATGCGAGAAGCAGAAAACAGTAAGATAGCATTCACTAACCCTTTTCATCGTCATACTTGCAAATTCTTTATAAAACAAGGATGCATTGATATGCCAGGTTTCAAGAAGATTATCTAAAACAAAGTGATGAAAAGAAGTCTGCAGGAGGGATGTATACTCCTAAATACTTTTAGCTTCTTTAAAAAAACACTTAAATAATTCGCCTATTGTTCTTACAAACAGCCCTTGTTAAAGTCAAGACAAAAATATCCTAAACATACTGAATACTTTTAGTAGAAAAGGCTAAGCTCTTAGTCCATGAATCAGCTATGAAACCTTTTTAGCTCTTAAAATTTCTGCCTAGTATTTTCCTCTCCCAGGAAAAGTGAGGTTCAGCTAGAGAGGAAATAATGTCGCATCATATAATGTTGCATCATATTTGTGTATGATAAACAGTGTGCTATTCTGTCTGCATAATGAAATTCATCAGTTTGGTTTTTCTTCAGAAAAATACAAGGACTGACCTAAGCTATATTCAAGTCACCAGAGACAACGTATGTTATAGCAGGTCTCTCTGGAAAACTGGACTTAAAATGAATGAGCTCTTGGAAGTCAAGAGGGAGGATATTGTATGTTTTCACAGACACTTTAACTTCTTGGAAGTTCAGAAGTAACCTACTAGCTTTTACCTTGTTGGGGTTTTTTTTCCCCTAAATCAATATTTTTCTGAACTACTGCCTAAGTTCTTTATCATCCAAACAGCTCATACTTCTTGTTTGTTTGTTTGTTTTTCTTGAAAAAAACAAACTAAACAACTTGTGTTCTGTGAAACATTCTACCTAGAAAGTAAGGCGTTAATCCAAAAAGGAGAGGTGGAGGGTCAAATGTCTTTATGAACACTTTCTCTCTCCATATTTTATTGTGCGATATCACAATAAATGATATAATTTTAAAAGGCTGTGGCTATTATTTGCCCAAAGCTCTTGCACTGGCAAAGGACAGAATAGGCCTTTTTAATCTCTAGAATGACGACGCAATATTTGTGTGTCTTCTTGACCCCATATGCAGCCACATGAGTTTTGAGGGTTCAGTTGTGTGGCTTGCAAGCGTATAATTTATTCCTAAATGCTGAGGAGTCTGTTTTGGTCTTTGTGTGCAGACTTGAGTGATAACTTGTCAGAGAGGTATGTTATGTTTAAAAGCAAGTTAGGGTTTTTGACTTTTATTCATTTGTTTGCTTTTATTGCTTTGACTAGTTAATGGAACCCCAAGCAGTCAATTATCCACCCCAAAATCTACGAAGTCCTCCAGTTCTTCACCAACAAGCCCAGGCAGCTTTCGTGGACTCAAGGTAAGTGCAAAACCATCAAAAACCCTAAATTCCATTATTCATTGAATGATGTATTGCAGTGATGCTGAAGAAGAAAAAAAGAAAAAGGGAAAAAAAAAGAGTTATAATTCTATAAGGCAGCCTTGCTAGTATGATTTTTGAGTTGAAGTGGAGAAGAGATCTGAAGTAAGATTTTTGTATTTTATCTTTGGTTGACAGGATGGAACTCTCAGCTTAGGAAAGGCAGAGGCTGATGGTGGCTTGAATACGCCAATTTGCCCTCCAAATTTTCCATTGTTTTGTGTACTGCAGAACCCCCCCCAAGTAATTTATATTCCCTCAGCCTATATAAATGTAGTATCCTCTTTTGGATATCTTATAGTCTTGTAGCATTGCTCAAAATTTTGTCTGAAGCACCTTTCTTCATCCGTGGCACACAATTTCACCCCTTAATGCAATCTCCTGCCTGAAGCATGTGAGGGGTTCTTTTGGGAGCAGCCTGATGTTTGGCAGATTTTTCTCTGTGTTGCACCAAGAGAATTCTCTTCCTCTCCCACTTAAAAATTGGTAGCATTTACAGTTCTCAGAGGCTGCTCTGTGCCTTTCACTCAGTAAAATAAAAGGAACAGTCTGGAGCGCAGTTGAGCATCTTACTGCTGTATTTGTGCAGCTGTCCTTTCAAGGAGAATTTTCTTATTAAATCATCAATTGCAGCCTTTCTGGAAGCACACTGGATGGTTTGCACTGATTATCCTGATCAAGTAATAGCTCCCATTGGTGAACACCACAGTTGTGAAGAGGCCGCATAATTCTGTGGAAAACTGTTTTCTCAATAAAGAGACTGGCTAAAGGACGTGATGTGAATAGTATTTAGATTTGGGTTTTGACATGCTAATTGTTACCAAGTCTTTGTCTGTTTTGCAAGGAGTATGGCACTGGTTTCTGCCAGGCTTCTGTGATAATTCTGAGAAAAGATTTTGATTTATTTGTTTAATTCTAATATATTTTTAGTTGTTTGGTTCATTGAGGCAATTTAGTGTTGATCTCTGCCTTTACGTTGCTGAGCTGTACCATCCCATAGGTTCTCTTTGTCCAAAGCAACATAGATTGGCCTTTCCCCCATAAAGCATTTTCAAGAGCAGTAATAGTTCTGACATTGAAAATTAGAACTGTGTGTCTTAAAATTTGTCTGGACAGCTCTGCTATAGAACTTACAGTAGAGGACACCAAAATCATTGGACTTGAGGCTCTCAAGTCTGGTCTGCACTATATTTAACAAATGCTCTTTTTTCTTTAATGAAATTACAAGTTTAGAAACTAGATAATTTGGTTCATTTTTTTCCCACACTGTCCTGTCTGCTTTTAGCCGATTAAAGCTCCATTAAGATAAAGATAATTCTGATAGTAACAAGCAATTTTCAGTAAAGTGGACATGTCCTCTTTCCCCTTCACTGTCAATTTCACTGAAATAGGCTGTTGTACTTTTTCATTTTGGAATTTAATTGATGCTGGATACTAATGGGTTTTTGTGTCAAATAATTCATCCCTATATGACCAAAGAAAACAGAAAAACAAATGAATCATCTCAGACCTGTTACTGAAGTAGTGAGTACCTCTTGGTTTATCCCATTAGGGTGCATCTGTTCAGTAGGAGGATCCCAGCTGTGCTCCTGAGACTAGAGATAGGGAAAGTTAGCTGGTGAGTCTCAGGATAAATTCCAAAAGGATCAAGTGCACTGTGCAGTGACCCTTGTTTCTTGATTATGTTCTAGTAGTAATGACTGTTTCGGTGAAATATCAACATAAAACCAGTATCAGGGAGGTATGTTTTTATGCAAAACCAGATTCTTTTAAGAAACCCATTATTATTTTTGTAGGATTGATCTTGGCCAGTCCGATGAGGAAAACAGAGGGGAAGCAGGGACCAATTTTATAATTTTGAGATTATTGCTTTTCCCTATTGTTAAATAATTCCTTGTTGCCAAGACTGCATCACTGCGCAGACAAGTAGTCTGGCTTCCTGCACTTGTATAAAGAAGGTGCCATGACTACAGCTGAATGAAAATGTAGTTATAAATACCATGGCAGACAGTGAAAGAATAAAGTATATTTCTGAGTTTTCTGGCTTGGGAAATGCAATATTTTGGCTGATTTGTTGTGTAGAAATCATCTATGTTTATTTTTGTAGAGCAGGAAACAGCAACACTTAAGAATGGTTTTATATGAGCTTGGAGCAGCAGGAAAAAGGAACAAATCAGGGTTGATTTTTCTATTTCCTGTAAAGCGCAGACCATCGGAGCAGCTGCACACGAACTGTCCTTTAAAAACTGTGTTGTTTGGAAAGCCAGAGCAAAATTAAATATTTGACTATAGATTGGAACCTGGCTAAGCTTTTTGAAGTTTGACGATCAACGTAGAGCTTAAGTGATAATGCTAGTCATCAAAGTAGTAAATTTGCAAAAGGTACTGATTGCAACAGCAGTTTTTTCTCAGTCTCAGACATTGAGCCTTACATCATATTCTCCAAATGCCACTTTTCCTTTAAAGTGAAGTCTGTTCAGTCCCCAAGGATTCCTTCTGCTTCACAATACTTTGTAAGAAGAAGTGGTACGCTCAGGCACAGAAAACTCCTTGCAGGAAAGGCTCCTTGTGAACAGCTTATCTTTTAAGAGGAGGGCTTTCCTTCTGTCCTTTTTAGCTCTTCCCTTGTGCTATTAATTGTTCAGTACACAAAGTAATCCAGTGTGCTGTCCAACATCCCAGTCTTGCAGAAGTGTTTAAAAAAAATTGTATGGGAGTCTGAGATTAAATTGAAGTAAGGAATTTATGCTATGTCTCAAGAATAGTAAACACTACAGAATTTTCCCACAACCCCAAATAAATACCTTTATTCCAGTAAGTGAAAATATGTATACCATGCACACAATTGCATGCTACTATGTATTCTTATTAAAGTTGTCTATTTTTAACGTCACAATTTTAGCTTGCTGCTAAGCATTTCTCTTTGCAGAGGGTTTGTTTCAAGGTAAAGATTTACATATAAAAGTTAACAAGTACGGGTGTGAATTAAATGTCTACTCTGTACAATATTCTTTTTTGAGCAAATGTGCTGAGTTTCTTAATTTTCTATTAACTTTTCCATAGAGATTAAAACTAGTGCATGGATTAACAAATAATGGTAATAGTGCGTTAGGTGGCACAGGGCAACTGACTTTTTGCTCTTCTGTAGGCAGGTGGCAATTGAAAGGTTTAACATTTTTCTTTGGTTCTAAGTGTGCATTTGTAGATACCCAGTACGCAATGCTGTTAGGGGTACTTTGACTCTTAGGTCTTCCAGTACATCTTCTACTAAGCACACTTTGTACCATAGAAATCATCCAGAGACTAGACTAAATATGAGATTTTGGAAAGTGGTATCGTAACTTCGCTATGCTTACTTGGATGTGTTTTATTGTCCCCTCTTGAAAGTAAGTACCACAAAGTCTTGTAATCTTTTTAAAAAGAAAATAAAATGGCACAAATAAAGAAGCTTTACAGTTGACGCCTTTCTTAGAATCCCAATTATGCTAAATAGCATTGTGTTTGAATTTTTCTCAGTATTACTTTTTCAACTGATTGACGAAATGACCAAAGTGAAAGGGCATTAAAACCTGATCCAACAAATAACTTAAGCACTTGCTTAACTTTAAGCTATTGAGTAGTCCCTTTTACTTCAATGAGGATGTTAATGTACTTAAAGTTAAACATGTGCTTAAGTGATTTGAAGGATTAGTGCGTATCTTCATCAAGGTTTTAATCTCTTCAGTTTTGTACACATGTGCTTCTGTTAGCAGTTACATGTTAAGAATATTTATATGCAATTATCCAACCTAGTGACACAGGTGCAATAGCAGTTCTTAGAGGAATTCTTTAACTGCTGCCTTTGTTGAATTTACAATTCAGCATCTTTCTTGCTCATACAGTGGATAAAAAGAGTTGACTAATTTGTGCTGGTAGGGAAACTGATGTATTGCACTTAGTGTTAAGTCCATTCACTATTGTCATCAGTTTGCTAAAAGCTTTACATAATGTGATGCAACTCAAAATCTCTTTAGAAAAAGGGTAAATCTTTATGTGGTTCTTCCGGAGCAGTGTAACAAAATGTGTGACATTATCTATATATGCCATACCATGTATGCTCAAATTAATGCTAGCAAAATCACTATATTTTAATTGGCTGTTACATTATTACAAGTAGCTCCTCAGTATAGTTGGATTAGTAGCAGTGTTTAAGTATTGCTTAAAAAATACGAAATTTCTGTCTTACAGATTATGTTAATATTAAGCATTATAATAATAAATACTAGCAACATCTCACTGGAAAGACTGATTACATAAATAACATTTCATTTATGTTTCGAATATCTTTTAGCCCTTTCTTACCGCAGCCTTTCAGGATGAATTACAGTGACACTATAAAAGTGTCCCCAGATTTCAGAGGATACTTCTGCAAACAGTTAATTCATATTTTCACTAAAATATTCAGTCTACGGTTAGATTCGTCGGCAATTTGAATGTTTTCATAAAGACACAGAAAGCTTCTTTGAGAATATCAAGGAGTTTTTGTGAAGGTATGAGAGTTCACATTCTCTTCTCTTTCAGATGAAAGATTACCACAGCAATGCCAGATCAGAACTCAAGGAAAAGTTAACAATATTAGACATACTTTTTCTCAATTCGCTAGATGCACTTTGAGGATATTTACAGGATCAAAATAGTAACACTAATGTTTGCGTAGAGGTCCCATATTTCTGTCTGGAATTTTCCAGAAACAAGGGTGTGGGGGTGTGTCCATACGTGTACATGTGTACCATACAGTTCAGAGTCTATTCAGCATATTATGAATGTGCTGGAGGACAAGGGCAGCACATTTAGTCATCTTAGACATACTGTGAAGGTGTTGAGCAACCACAGGAGATATGACTGGGGTCAAAGAAGCTCTTGCACATATGTGTACAGGACAATGTGCACAGGACCTTTGTATGCCTAGCAACCTGATGGCAAAAGTTCTTCATTTCTATCCAGCCAGGCAAGAAGGATAAACACCTTTAGGTGGGTGCTCTAGAAGGCACCATCCCATGTAGCTGCCAAGAAGTTAGGTATTTCCTTCAGTATGAAAAAAAGCCCAAAACGTTTCCACAAAGATTTGTGTCATGGGCAGTTAATCTAATCCTGAGTACAAAGGTTTGTCAACTAAGGTACCAGTCTGCTTCAAGAGAATATGGGTTTATATCTGTGGATCCTTCCTCACACTCTCACGAGACAAAAAATAAAATCCCACCAGATGTGTAGTTATCTGGGATTGCTTTCTTATGTCCCTCCACATTTCTATTTTCAATACAAGCATTATGTTTACATTTTTTCAGGTATATGGTAGCATTTTGACTCAAAAGATTTATTAAAAATCTTAGGTACTGGACCAGTAGATGTAGCTTGATTAAAATGACTGTCAAGCTGCTGTTTTTTCATTCCCAAATAACTGACTTATGCTCTGATCCAGATTTTAAGGGAATCTTGGGCCAGTCCCTCCCTGCTACTTATACATCACCTCACATTTGCATATCCATTTCAGTTCATGCTCTTGGACTCTGTGATGGTTTAAAGGCTTTTACATTTTTTGTTTGATTTTTTCTTTTTTTTTTTTTTTTGGTGCTTTCAATTTCTTATCATTAACTTAAAAGTAGAAAACCTGATACACACAGTATCTGGCAAGATGCACCTGTCTGGCACATTATACATTGGATACTTCAGATAGTAAAAAAATAAAATAAAATCCTACAGTGCAAAGTATAAAATAGAGTTTTTAATGGGTTGGATATCAGTAAGGGTGAAAGGAAGAATGCTAAATACCTGTTCCTTAGTTATTATGTCGAGGTGTAATAAGCACGTTGGGTACTAAAGTAGGTATGTTAAGGTTGGATATGACAGATCTAATGTGAGTGTTTCTCACAAAACCATGTGTCGTGTTGACTTAAGTCACAGTCAGTCTGTATAAAATAATATAAAATACAGAGAAACGTGTTTAGATATTTTTGTGAACCTAGAAAAATGGTTATTCCACAGAAAATAGTTCAGCATGTGAAGAAAACAAAACCATTGGGTAGGTTTTTTTCAGCCCAGTAACTTTTGTAACTTTTTACAGCATCTTTAATTAGTCTGTAAAATTATATGCAACTAGTTTTGAGAACTGTGTGTTCATGAAGATATTCTCAGTATCTCTAACAACTATGTTGCATTGTGCATTTGGCTCTGGATGTGCTCTTGAAACACAAATTACCTGTAGGGAGACAACTTGAGGGAAGTAAAAGCAATAATTGTTATATTCTGTATTGCCTGATGTTTAAATGCAATAGAAGTGACTGTCAGCATAAGATGTTCTTGGCCAGTAGCATCCACATTCTGAGGCAATTGTTTTTGAAGGGCTGGATGGCCATTGCTGCTCTAAATTACTCTGTGAGTTTTTGAAAACAAAGAATCAAATTCTGCCTCAGGTCTGAGTTTTCTAGGACTTGCATATGTACGTGAGAAGGCAAATTTAAGATCTGTGCACTCTGAATTTATCATGTGTAAGGAGAGCAGTATTGGAAGAGGACAGTAGTACTGTGTAGACTAGAATACAGGAAGAAGAATTGTTGCAAAACCTAATCTGCGGTGCGATTGTAGATGCCATCCATATTCACTAGCGTAGTATCCAAAGCAACGTGCATCCTTTTCTCTTCTCCTTGCTACTTCAGGAATGGCTAGTGAACCAGTCAAGTCTACTTGTGCATCTAAAATCTTTACTTCACCTTCAAAATACCTGCAGCTGTTGGGATACCAACAGTACAAGATATTCTAAATATTACATGTCACTGAGTAGTTAAATGATTAGAAAATTACTTTAATAATAAAAATCACTTTATTCTGTGTCACTTAGTGTCAATTCCTACCTCCTCCCCACCTTTTCTGGCTAGTCAAGCACCTCGCAGGCATCTTAAGGTTTTATTTCTATTGTGCTCTGACACGGTAGGGAAAAAAAAGACTAGACTGATTTTGCTGCTGAGGAACTGAGGCACAGACCTACGGCACCCAAATTACAGCTAATCTCTGTTGTTGAGTGAGTTCAGCCTTATGTCAGGAGCCATGAGGGAAATTAGTGGCAGAGCTAAGTTTAAACCTGCCATTTCTGATTCTGATCTAGCACCTCAGCCACAACAGCAGCATTAGATTTTTTTACTTTTTGTATTCCTTTTAGCTTTTTTTCCTGTTACTGTTTGCTTTCTTCTTGTAAATACTGTAGTAGGAAGGAATGTGCCCAGTCATGCTCTGACCTGATTACAAGGATGAAGGAAGTTGGAAATGTGGGCTAGATATTCCCATGTATTGTCACTCATTGAAAACTCAAAATAGATTACTAATATTTTTGGCTGATGACTAATACTTTGCAGTAATCTGTTCTGTTATCTCTGCTTCATGCTTCAAGAAAAGGTGACTGACTGGGTTAAGAGACTGACTCATGATTTTGCACAAATGTCATTTCACCCAAATGTCCTTGTTCCTCATCCTTGTTAAATAAATAGGTAACTCAGAAAGACAGCAGCATTAACATAGACTGGTTTTAAGTTATTAGCAAGGAGTAAAGTAGTAGCTGACTGGTTGCTGCTTCTACTTTGATACTACTTCTGTGCCAAATGCTAGTAAACATAATTGTTTAGAGGCTCTGCAAAATTAAGTTGTACAGCTTCTAGTTACTGTACCTTTGGCTGATTTGGCAGCTCAGCTGCCACTAGAAACTTAAGCGTTCATTAGCATTTCATGACCCTTTAGACAAATATCCCTATCTGTCAGTTCAGTTCTTTCATTGACAATAGTGTTAATGATTTAAAATATTCAGCAGTGTAACCAGACAATGTCAGCTAAAATGGAAAATGCTGCATTTGCATTCCTGGTGTCATGCAAAACCTTTTCAACAGACACTGAGCTTAAGGCAGAGAAGCATTTTAATCCTTTATGTGGTGAGTGGTGAGAACTACTATAATAGTCCGTGAAGAAAACAAGATATGGAACTTCACAGAACAGCAAGAAATGTTACGTAGAGGAGGGGGAATGATCTAAAATATATTTTGATTTCATAGAGCATCCCTATACTTAAGTGTAATGGGAGAGCTTATAAAACAGTGGTGCATAGAACACATCCAGTACATTTTACTATTTATGGCATTCATTCCTGTGCCTCCACCCCTTTTTAAAATAAAAATTGATTGTTGTGTATGTCCCTGGGCAATATGACAGGATGACTTTAAGTAGAATTGTGAAGATTCAGATCGAGTACCAATTAAGTTTTTAGTGCAGCAAAAGTAGTTTTCTTCAGCCTTCATCCTTCAAAATCATTTAGATATTTGTTTTTTACACAGTGTCACAGTTACTAAAACTGGATTTATGTCTGGATGCGTATCAGACAGCTAACTTGAAATGCTTGTAGATGTCATAAATCTTCACATCCATAATAACCTAAAATATAGACCGCTAGGTTACCAAGCAAATCTGACTATTGTAGATGTACCAGGCCACCTATGCCAAAATTCTCTTATTTAAAGGAAAACTAGTAGGGCCATGCAAGCATTTCTACATCACCTTCCTAGCATGCTTCAGTGCTAGTCTAAAGAGAGCATATGTTGACAGAGCTCAGTTAGGAAAACCGCAGACAGTGCCAGCTATGAAGAGATGTGTTAAACTACAGCATGAGAGCACGTGCTTGCTGCACTGGCCACTGGATAGTTGTCTGGAGATGGCTATCTCTGGCTTACATGAAAATGTACACAGAGTGTATTGTAACGATCTTGTTGCATAGAATGGGGAGGGAACATTGCCTCCACACACACTGGCTCTATAGTGTTTAGATAGGGCTTGGTGCAGCTGGAGGGAATTTTCTTTGCTGTTTACTGAAATCTGTTCAACTACTTGTCTAAATAGGAATATCAGGGCTGGATCTTAAATTGGTGGAAGTGACAATGATGTATTATGATGATGAACTGTGAGAAAGCAAAAATAAAAGTAAGATGGGAGTAGAAAAATAAACTGACTTTGTATAGGTGTTTTTAGGGTGTTTTTTTTTAACTTTGTGGGTTTTTTGTCTGGCTCCTTCTTGTGATTACCATCAGAAATAATAAGTTCTTATGTACTTCCATAGATCCCTCCACATAGTGGATCTTCTTCCAATGTGAATGGTGTACCAGAATCACTCCATTGCCAGAGTCCCGAAGGTAGGACACCAATAACTGCTAACAATCCTTGCGAAAATTTTGTTGTAGGTGACAGTTGGTTTAGCACTTTTAAATGGTTTCTGATGACTCCAAATCATTTTTTGTTCTGGGATATTTGATACCTTATCAACAACCTTATCTTGGAAAAATTGTTATCACGTTTTCTACATCAAGGCAGTAAAGCTTGGAAAGAAATTTTGTTCTTTTTTTGTGAAGTGGTAGCATATTAGTGGACCCTGCTCTTCAATAGTTACTATTAGGAATTTGAGTGATTTTGAACATGACTACAGAGTATCACCAGGAACGTGTTTATGGCTGGATTGAAAGTGGAGCTCCCCTCAAAACAGCACATTGTGCTTCAGGTAGAACTACTAGGCCCATCAACTGACCTTAGCTAAACTTAACCTTTCATTTATTTTCTCTTTAAAGCAACGTTGTTTGTTTTGAGTTTTTTTTAAATTTCATTTAGAGTAATTTTTTTAACTTAAAAATACTGAAATAAGCAGCTGTCAAACTTATTTGCATTTTGGATGTTTCAGCAGCGGCTAAGGGAACTTGAAGAATTCAGCAGATAAAACTTTTGGTTCTTTTACATGCATTGTAGATGAATCTTATTTGCATTTTTGCTTTGAATATGCAAAAAGATACTTCAAAAAAAGTGTTTTGAGTTCAGAAAATATTTAGACTAAGGACTTCTAACTGCATTCATTACTTTTAGAGTATGTCCACAGAAAAACATAGTAATATTTTATTTGTGTGTTAAAAGGTCAAACAACTCTCATTAGTCTTATCTTGTTCTTTCTTATATTTGAGATAAAAACAAAGGAATAAGCTGTGAAGAAAACAGCTTACTTTTAAGTTTCATTTTGCATTTGTGACTGTTCTGTATCTGTGGAACCCATTGGGGATATATGACATACTGCTGACACTTCTTTTCAGCTTGCATTATTGACCTTGCTTTTTTGCAGGTGTGAATGGAAGCAAGTGCTCAGGGTCATCTACCATTCTTGAGAAGTATAAAGTGGGGAAGGTGATTGGTGATGGCAATTTTGCTGTTGTAAAGGAGTGCGTAGAACGGTGAGCAAGGAAATTGTTCAATACTGCTGTTTATTTTACTGGATAAAGCGCTGTGCATTAGCATAATTTCATAGAAAATGTGATGAGATGAAAGCAAAGAGCAGTTGCAAAGATATGGTGACACTTCAGGAGAACTAGACATAGCAAACCACACAGAGCTTCCTATGTATTATTCCAGCAAAGGGATATGACAGCAGCAGAGGAACATGGCTTTTTATCCCAAAAACTAAAGGAGGTATCACCTTCTAATGGAGGCTCTTAAGGAAACCCCACAGATCCTCAAGAAATCCCATCACACAACAGACTGTTGTGGATGGCAGGAAATTGTATGTGGCATCTAAACAGTCTTTGAGAGACCCCCTTCTGCCTCAGCAATTCTGCTGCTGTAGTATCCCTACTGCCTGCTGCTTAAATGATTTTTCACAGCTTTCAGTATACTGTGGGCAAAATATTCTTAAAGGCATGCGGTTGGTAGCAATTAGCCTGTGCTACTGACTCCCATTTGCTTGCTTCTTCTGTGAGGTTGTGCGGTGAGTAGCCAGAGACTTTTCAAATCAGCCCTTCAATATTCCAGACTCTGAAATATTCTTGTGCCTGGTTTCCCATGGCGTAGACAGGATACCTTTACAGACCTGTGCTGTGTTACTGCTCTTCCTCTGCAAGCTTTGTGTTACACTTTGCTGCTAGTGCAAACATAACAGATGATTTGACTGTCACTTTCTCAGTGTATTTTTTAGAACCACCTTCTGCTATCTTCAGCAGTCTGAAAGTCTTGTCAGCTTCTTAAATATTATGAGGAATCTCCAACTTGTACGCAAATACTGGGCGAATTCAGCAAATGTCTGTAAAAACCATACAAGTTACAGAAACAGTTTCTATTATTTGATCCTCATCTGCTGGTTTTCTTTACATGAAAAGAAAGATAATTATGAATGGAAACATCTCATTCCAGTCTTAGCAGATCATAGATGCATAGATAGAGTCTTCTGCTGAGTCATCCAAATGGGCCAAAAAGGTTGGGTACCGAGACTGAACCTGAGGCCTTCTCTGCTGAAACATAGGTGAATGGATCTTACAATCCATAACTTTCTGCAGCCATTATTGTTTTTTCTCGAGAGAATTGTTTGATACTGTATGTGGATTATTTCTCTCCATTACTGAGAATAATATTGGCAGGTGGTATGTAACACCATGTCTAATACGCCCTTCTGGTTTATAGCAGCAAATGACAATTGTTATTTTTAATACTTTTTTGAGAAGGTGATGTACAAGCATGCAAGGTTTTTAGACTAAGGAATAAAGACTGAGGTGGCAGCTCCTAGAGATACTAGCTGAGTACAGTGCTGATAAAGAAAAAAGTGGCTAACTGTGATCTGAGTGTGCTACAATTACTGCTCCAAAAAAGTTCCTGTTGCACGGCCAGGTTTAAGATAATGCTTCTGGTCAGTGTTAACATCTAGACTCCAAGGTATTGATTTTTTTTTTATTTTTGAATGGTTCATACCAACAAACTCTGGTTCCTGACAAGCATTACCACATCAGTGTGTCGTCATGTCCCTCCTGCTTTAAACACTGCAGGTCTGTTACAAAAACTGTAAGAAGGCAATACAGCCAGCTCTGTTGCAGCTGGATTTCTGTCCATTTCATTTTGCAAGAAGCTACACATAAGAGGCTTGAGTGAAACTAAATGAATGGTGCTTTACAGCGTTTTCCCATGCATCCTGAAACTGGCCAGACATCCTTTGTTATCTATAGGGTGAACAACATTCATGAAAGATAACAGTTTAAAAGCATAAGATAACATAATTTATTATTTTCAGGAGTATCGACTGTGCATTTTGGAAATCACTTAAGTTCCACTGAAAATGGGACAAGGGCTGCTAAGTCACTTGGGTGTCAAAACATCATCTGTGCTTTTTGGAATGAGGGGACTGGACTAGGAAAACAACCTTCCAATTATTTAAAAAAAAAAAGGGCAAAATTAAACTTAAAAATCTAGTTTTGTATGTGATCCAATCTTTATATTTAGTAAAGCATTATTAAATGAATTTTATATAAAATAAATATACAGCAATAGTTGCTAATAATAACAATGAGAGAGGAAATGCCAACTATAAATGCTTGTCTTCTAATTCCTGTTAATTATTATACTTCATTTCTAATAGTGTTGTGCTTAGAAGCCTTAATTGTGGAGCCAGGATGCTATTATACCAGCTGTTCTACAAAAAGAATAAGATGGTCTCTTTTGTAAAGGGTGCCTATATGTCTGTATATAAAGACATGAGTCAACAGATGGACACTGACAGATAGAATAACACCAGAAAGCTGTCAGACAATACTGGTGTATGATAGGCAGTGGTATTAGCACACAAATTATGTGGATGATATCCAGGGTTTTTTCTTAGGTGCTATAGTAAAGGACATTTGCAAGAGGGATTTGAAGTTGGTTGATGAATTGGCTTTGTGAATGTTAACTCCTCTTTCTACACAGCGTAAGTGCCGAAGGTTTCCTAAGTGGATTTTGCTGATCAGTTGTTTGCAGGCTTTCAGATCATGCACTTAATTTAGTGTAACGCATAAACTGTGATTCTGAATTACACACTGTATTCATAGTAGATTTTACATCAGGTCTATAATATAAGAGGATGGCATTTCACAGATACCATTTAGATAACACTTCTACCTAAACACCAGATCAGGTTGTAACTATGACAACCTCACAAATATAGCTGCACTTTCAGAGCAGAGATTCTTTACTACATTTTTTCAATAATGGATAAATTTAATGTGAGACATTAATTCAGTTCCTTTTTTTGTAAGGTACTAATTTTGATTCGTTGTATCTAATGCCAAAAGTATAGTGAAAATTAACCTGGAAGTTTAAAAACATGCCTGACTTTTGCTTTTGTAACTGCCTCCAGTGTTTTTTACCATACATGCAGTGGTGTTCTGATGCACACCGGAGTCTGTAGTTACTGACACAACACAAAATAGTAGCAACAGGGTCTGATGGCATTTTCCTGTGATTTTTAATTCATCATTAATATAAGTAATAATGTCGTGTTTGTTTAAAAAAAAAAAAAGATAATTCATTTGTGTTACTTGTTTCTCTCATTTTCTTCCCTTCTGGAGAAATGGAGAAGACTTATTGCTTAAAGGGACAAAAGGCAAACAAGAGCTCTGTTCTGTGAGAATATTTACTGAAAACAGTAATCCTTTTTACTTTATATATAACCACCCTCTTAAATGTCATAGGACCTTAGATGACTGCTATAGAATTCCATAGAATACTTAAAAAAATAAAGAATGAAATACAAATGGTCAAAATTAGTGCATAATAAATTCTGCGGGATTTTAGACTAGTCTGTAATGAACTATGGGTTTTTAGTTCTGCTGAATGCTATTGAATGTTTCCACTAGGGTATCAACCTTTCTTCTGCTCACTTACACATAAATGTGTATGATTTTATCTTTAAAGCTTACCCGTTGAACAAAGCTAAGTGGAAGGCTTAAGATAATTTTGCATGTTGCATTAAAGAAGTGACAGAGACTTGTGCCAGGTCACAGAAGAATGAATTGCTGCTGGAGCCTGGGATTAATACACAAAGTGAGCTAGGTTGTGGTAGTCAGGGAAACAGCAGGCGCAAATGCTGCTGAGAAAACAAAAAACAAAATCAAGTCCGTTCTGTGAATTTTCTGTCAGCAACCTCCATGAGTCGAGGCATTCTGCTACGATGATGTATACTCTTATAGATAATGCACAATTCGACCAGTTTCTAATTAATCGTTCTCATATTTTTCTTGCTAGATCCACAGGAAAGGAGTTTGCACTGAAGATCATAGACAAGGCTAAATGCTGTGGAAAGGTAGTGTACAACAATTTCCATGTATAAGAAAAATAGCAGAAACAGCACTAGCAGCTGCTCATTAGTCATAAATGGTGGGTGTGTTTGGGTTTTCTGACTATTTTCAGAATATCTGCTTAACAGGATGATAATGTATCCAAGAAGCAAATAATAAAAGTAGTGAGTGTTAGTCTACTGGATAACAGAGTAAAAAACAAATTGTCATCCATTTTATTGGACTAACAAAGAAAATGCTAATATGTGTCCAAAATTACATCAGAAGAGAAATGGCCAAAATATATTAGAAAGATTTTGATCTGTAAAATATGAGAGAGGAAGTTTGCAGCTGTATGTGTATTTATATAATTCCCATCGCTCTCTGCCTCGTACATGCTCCTTTTATATGTAGAACATGGATTTGGAAAGAAATTTTCGAAATCGTTTCTTTCTGTTTATGCAGTTTCACCATCCTGTATAACAAAGATCTCTTAACAAGAGAGTTAAGTAAACTTTCTTTTTAATTCAAGTTCAAAAAAAAAAAGGTCAAAAATTGTGTCTCCAGCAGAACAGCATGTTACATAATCGAAGCAAATATCTGAGAGTGTCACAGACCTCTCTTCACCTTCCTCCCAAGTACAGAGATTTTGAAAAAGGAAGAAAAAAACCCCAACCTACAGCCAAGAATGTAGGCTAAGTGTTGGAATAGATAACAACAAATAAAATACTTCTATTTTCACTGCTTTGCAATACCATAAAAATAAAGTGCTCTTGAGGAACTTGTGAATCAAATGGATCATAGTTTAGAGTTAGTGAAAAGAACACTGAGGGCACAGTATTAATTAGCAATTAAATTCTGGATTAAAGTCTCTTTGAGAGTGTGAAGTATGCCATTCCCTCAAGGGTGACTGAAAAGATGGACTTTTTTGATGCAAACACCTTATTTTTTTTACGTAAATGATTGCACTGAAATTATTCTGGAGGTAACTTTGCAACCAAGTCAGGGTTTTAATTCAAAGGTAGCCTAGCCTTTTTGTCAGTTACATAGAGTAACTGCTCTAAAGTGTAATTCAGAGCTCCAAATGCTGAATGTGACCTTGTAGGAAAACATGGCAAGTCTGTATGACATTCTTTGTATGGTAATGAGCTGTATGTTACTGTACACTAATGTATTACCTGTTGTGATGACTTGCTTTAAGTAGAGGTCCTCAAACAGAAATGTTTTATCTATGCAGATTTAAAATTGTGTATTATCTGCTAGGAGATGAGGGTTCCCGCCTCCCCATTACTTTATCTCATATTCTTTAGTTTTATTTAAGGGAAAATTTAGAAAGGAATCTTAAAAATGTATAACCACAAGAAAAAGTGCTGGAATTGCCTTTTTGAGATTAAAATGTTGCCATTTCTTCGTCTGTGGGAAGGGCGACCCAGTGTGTTTCACTGCAAAAGAAAACTTTTGGGTGATGTGTACAGCTTGCAATTTTAGATGGTTTTTATTACTGGTCTGAGTCAGCTGCTTAGCTATCATAAATTGGAATGGTCCAGAGATAGACAATCCATTTTACACAGCAGAGTTTAGACATATTTTCTATTTATCGTTCTCACTGCTTTAAAACAAGCAAATAAAAAAAATCAACCCCGTGGATGCCTATTTGTCTGTTTTGAAAGAACCTGTGTCTGCATAGCTACATACAGATATATGTGTATGTACAAGCAGAGGACTGTTAGGAAGATGTTTATACAGTGGCAGAACTGTCCAGGAAGAATTCCAACAAAGAAAATTAAATTTTGCTACAGCTTAGTCCTTCCTCACTCCATTTCACATGCCAGCATAAGCTCTGCCTTAAAAACACCCAAATATGCATGACTTGTATGTTGCTCACTGCTCTCTAGCAGTTTATCTTGGATGTCCTAAAATTTGAATCCAATTGACTAATGTATTTTCCACAAGCAGCTTAAATTTTAATTATACAATAATTTCTTTATAAATAAATCATATTAATGTAGACTGAAATCTATATTGCACTATCCAGGAGAACATTATAACAAGTTTGAGAATTATTTTTTTACATGACAAAATATCGCAAAAACAGTAGGGTGGTTGAAAATAACTAACTAAATACTAGCCAGCATTTTGAGGACAGGTATTAAAACAGTCGCTCAACAACATCATGGAGCCTTTTCTTAAAAAATATTATTATTGTTTATTTTAAATAAACATTACTTATGCCTGAGCTTTATTTAAAGCAATTAACAATTTAGTCAAGTGAAACAAAGAAAGCACAGGTAAAGCTATTGTGCCTTAGTCATAATTAATGGATATAATAAATTTTAATATGTTATCTGTTCTTTAGGTAGAAAAAGCTATAATAAGAATCTGGTTTTTGCTTGGACTCTTAATGCTAGTTTTGAATTTACAGGCTTTCATCCATAAGACTTCGTATGCTGTGGCTGTTCACTTTTGTCTGTTGATGAGATTCAGCATTGTATTTAACAAAATTGCTTCATGTTTGTTTTTTTTCTCCAGAGCACTTTGCTTAGAGCAGACATATGTTTGCTCAGAATGACAATTGATGCTCTTTCAAACTGAATTTCAAAGGTGTGACTGTTTAACCCATGTATGCCGCACCATACTCTCACAAAATGAGATGCACACATGGCATGTGGTTTCCGAGTTACATAGCCACATAAAGCTTTGGCAAAAACACGATGCATCCATAAATAACCCTGGAAATAGAAGGTGAAGTAGCATAAGAACTTCAGTCACTGCCTATGCACAGTGGATCACATCTACTTCTCGTGCTCTGCTCACAAATGCATGAAGTGCATGCTACTAATCAGTGCATTAAACATGAATAAGTTCCAAGTCCAGTGAGGTGATTTGTTATCTGCCAAAGTTATGGAAACTAGTGTTTTATGCAGGCATTGTTACTTATTTTGCAGTGAACATAAATACAATATCTGTATTCTAAAATTTATAAAGAAAATGCAAATCATTCTTCACATGAAAGGGGCATGTAATTTTCTTCACTCTCCAATGTTAACCAAGTGCTAAGATGTTCTAGAAAACAAAACATTCTGAAACTAATTTGTTCTTGAAACCCATTACTTCGTCAGAAGTATAGGGAAGGGGAAATTAAACTCAATCTGTATGCTCTTAAGCTGTTGGAGCCACAACGACTTAACTGAGCTATTACATATTTTTCAGACTGCAAATCTGAACATACATATAAAATGAACTGAAATCCATAACCAAAGCAGTTATAATGTTTTTCCTGTGTATAATCCACAACTTTTTTAAAAAATAAAGTCCTTGAAAATAAATCCTAGGTAATCTGTCCTTGAGTAACCTACACTAAATGAGAGGTAAAGGCTGGAGAGGATCAAAACATGTTAACTATTGATGGGGGGTGGCAGGTTACAATGATCCAGCTCGGGGGCAGGGGGGGGTTCTGAACTTAATTTCACCTCGTAATACTCACATAAGAATATAATCTGCACTTTCTGAATTGCTGTCATGTTCTGGGGTCTTTGCAGAGATATCTCATTGGTTATGTGTGTGAAATATGGTATTTTAAATTAAATTTGGTCAATGATGAAGTACAGTTGGGCTAAAATACAAGTTAAAACAGCATCTGACAATAACCCTCTACTGTGTAAATTAGACAGCAAAAAAGGGTGCTCACTTATCAAATGATCAGTGGTCAGCTGATCAAAGGAAAAGTGTATTGGCAATTTCATGTCTATTCAGATAAACTTCCATCCTCTTTGCTGAACAGGAACACCTGATTGAAAATGAAGTGTCTATTCTGCGTCGAGTGAAGCATCCAAATATCATCATGCTTATAGAGGAGATGGACACTCCAACAGAACTCTATCTGGTGATGGAACTAGTCAAGGTAAGACTAAGGAGACTTTTTTTTTTTTTTTAAATTCTCTGTGTTGGTGTGAAATCTGAGAGGTATCTAGGAACATTCAGATCTTGGGAGACATAATCAGGTAGGATTTCAGTGGCAACCTGCATTTTTAATCATGCAATCCAGAGCTGGACGCAGGACTCCAGGTGGGGTCTCACCAGAGCAGAGCAGAGGGGCAGAATCACCTCCCTGACCTGCTGGCCACGCTTCTTTTGATGCAGCCCAGGATATGGTTGGCCTGCTGGGCTGCGAGCGCACATTGCTGGCTCATGTCCAGCTTTTCATCCACCAGTACCCCCAAGTCCTTCTCGGCAGAGCTGCTCTCAATCCCTTCGTCCCCCAGCCTGTACTGATGCCCAGGTGCAGGACCCTGCACTTGGCCTTGTTGAACCTCATGAGGTTCACATGGGCCCACTTCTCGAGCTTGTCCAGGTCCCTCTGGATGGCATCCTGCCCCTCAGGCGTGTCGACCGCACCGCTCAGCTTGGTGTCGTCTGCAAATTTGCTGAGGGTGCACTCGATCCCACTGTCTATGTCATTGATGAAAGATATTAAACAGTACCGGTCCCAGTCGGACTCCTGCTGGACACCACTTGTCACCGATCTCCATCTGGACATTGAGCCATTGACCACTACCCTCTGGATGTGTCCATCCAACCAATTCCTCACCCACAGTCCACCCATCAAATCCATACGTCTCCAGTTTAGAGAGAAGAATGTTGTGGGGGACCGCATCAAAGGCCTTACAGACGTCCAGATAGACGACATCTGTAGCCCTTCCCATGTCCACTGATGGAGTCCACTAGGTTGGTCAGGCAGGACTTGCCCTTGGTGAAGCCATGCTGGCTGTCTCGAATCA